CTTTCCATCCATCCATCCACTCAACACCCTCTCTATCCATCCATCCATCATCCACCCACGCACCACGCATCCATCCGCCCGTCCACTGTGTCCCTCTGTCCATCCATCAACCTATCTACCATCTCTCCTCCTCCCTCTCATCTGTCCGTCCAGATACCACTGTCTGTGTCGTGCACAGGGAAATGTCTGGTTTGTTCTGTGTCTGTGGAGACCCCTGACCGAGACGGCCCCCCGAGACCAGACACATAAGGAGGCATTCTCCTCACGTGCGCGTGTGCTGACACCCAGACACGCCTTCTCCTTTCTCCCCCCCATCCTCTGTCCCACCGTCTGGGGAGCGGCCCGGCTCTGAGGACAAAGGGACAGTGGGTCCGGGCGACCCTGCCTCTGCTCCCAGACCCCGTTCCCTCGGTGACTTGCTTCTGCCTCTGTGACTCTCCGAGAAACTCCTCCCGGTCCCCTTACCTCTCTCCGTCTTGTCCAGCAGTCCCAGGGCTACACAGGCGTCCAGCAGCTGTCCAGTTCCTATCTCTGAGGCACCGGTTTTCCTGGCAATGTCCTCCGCACGCAGGGGGCCTTCATCTCTCAGTAAGTCGAACACCTTCATCTTGCAAGCTGTGAAGAGGACCTGTGCGGGAGCAGCAGGCCCAGTTAGAACCTCCCTGGACCCTCCAAGCAAGGGTGACCCAGGGAGACCTGCATCTCAGACGCCTGGTGTCCAGGACAGAAACAAGATGACTTCCCATGGCTTAGCCCCCAGGTTGTAGCCCTTCGTCAAGTCACCCCAGGGCCCCCGGCAGGACACCTGGGACACTTTGAGGCCGTATATCATCTTCACAATGGCAGTCGGGGGCAGGCTCTCCACGGTGGCTGTGCAGTCTGCATCCTTCGCGTCCTTCCCGTGCTTCTGCAAGAATCCGAACCCAGCTTCAGAAAGGACGCAGGTCTGTGGTTTGGTGCCTGCAAACAGCTTCCCTGCCGGTCCCTGGGCTGACTCTGGAGAGCAAGGCCTGCGTGGCTCCTGGTGCTGGGCGGGGACGGGAGTGTGTCCCACCTCGTCCCTGGGCCCCACTGACACAGGAGCCTTCCCCCTCAGAACACCGGTCTCTCAGGACTCACTCACTTGTACCACTGCTCACAGTAGGACCTACAGTGCACTTAGTATCCCAGCTGCCATGGGATGTGATTGCAACGTCTAGTGATAAGTTACATTAATTCTGTGCAGTGGAAGAAACCATTGTATTCATTACAGGAAGGGATTACGCAGTAACACATAGTAACAGATACATTCACATAAATGATACTGTTGTAGGACATACCAACAAAGTAACTCATCATCTATATTCTAGAAATGATACCATTAGCTACAATGGTGTGTTATAAAGTTACGCCTGGTAACGGACAAGTAACATTAACTCTAAATTGTAAAGGACACCTTTGGCTCCTGAGGACAGTCCCCTCTGTGGTAACAAAGCAATAGACTGGCTACTACGTTAACTCTTGTTGACAAGCTGTACTACAAAAACGCTGCATGAGTGTAACAGCCCGGTCCTCTGCGACACTCAGCCGTGGATAAGCGGTGTTACTGCCCACTCCAGTGGACGTGGAAGGAACACGTCGACTCAAAACCTGGCCCCCCAACCGCCTCTCCCAAAGCCCATGTGTCCCGAGTGGCAGAAGCAGAGCCCTTGCCTGGTGCATCCTCCTGGCCACCTCCAGAGTCTTCTGCTTGGCCGTTTCCATGGCGTATGCGTAAGGGGTGGGGAACGAGGCTTTACTGAGCTGCCCTTTGAACCTGGAAGGAACCACCTGGAACCTGGGCCCCTGCAATGGGAGAAGGGGGACAGTGAGAGGGTGAGGCACGCAGCTTGCACCAATCACAATGGGCTGGGTCACAGCCAGTGTGGGCTCTCAGTGCCGGACCGGACCCTGAACTCTCTCCAACAGCACATCCTGCACAGCCGGATCTTGGGACCTAGAAGGAAGACCTGTGTTCATGCTGGTCACCCAAAGGCCCCGGGGGGCAGTATTGACTGAGGTGCTGGGTACCTCTGTGGGTGGAAGAGCCCCCAGGACATTCCCAAGGCCGGTACTCCACCCCCACAGGGGCCCAGCCCCTGGAAATTCACTGCCTGCAGGAAACGCAAAGGACAGAAATAAGTTGTGTGGGGAAATGGGACTACCTCAGGGGTCCCTCATCCTGACCGAGCAAGGCAGTTCCCGGTGCCTGAACCGGGTTGGTCGTGTCCATGGCCTCTGGAGTGCCTGCTCTGTGGCCCCTGAGGCCGTGGCGTCGGCGGTCCCTCCCTTGGCAGCCCCTACAAAGCACCCCTGTGGCTTGGTCCCTGCCCCTCCCCCAGCAGCCTCAGGGCAGGGGCAGCTGAGTACCGGGCACCGATTTGTTCTGCCAAGAGGCCATGTCATGGAGCACACCAGACCCCCGGGCCTGGTCAGAACACTGGAGCCCACGTGACACGGGTTCTGGCTTCCCCGGGCCCACCGACCTGAACCCCGGCCACTAGAAGCTTCCCCCCAGACCCCACTGCTTCAGTTCCTGGTCTGGGCCTAGAGACGGTGGACCTCACACCTCGTCGCTGGTCCCCATGTGCCCACCGGCCCCAAACACCGGGCCAGGGCAGTAGGCAGCCCCTGGTGCTCCACCCGTCCAGGGGCCCCAGGTTGAGTAGGCTCGGGGATCAGTAGCACGCCCCTCGCACCCAGAACCCGACCCGGTTCTGTCCCAACTATTCACCGCATTTCTTAGGAGATTGAGGTGGCGCGGGGCAGTGCGGGCCATCACCACACGCTTATGCAGCAGCTGCGGGATCAGCGGGAAGAAGACCATGGCTCTCGAGTCTGCGCCCCACGCCCTGTGGCTCAAGGGATGGTCTGCTGGGCCAGGCCTCCTGCTCCTGGGTCTGGGTCCTTGAGGCCTGGCCCACTCTGACGAAGCCCCGCCCCGACCGAGGCCACGCCCCCAGGCCCCGCCCCTGCGGATCTGGGCCCAGACCACTCTTTGGACAATTAGTGGGGTCCTGGCCCCGCCCACCAGGCCCCGCCCCTGCGGATCTGGGCCCTGACCACTCTTTGGACAATTAGTGGGGTCCTGGCCCCGCCCACCTACTGCAGCCACGCCCCAAGCAGAGCTCAGCTTCCAGGCCTGTTCTGCACCCTCACACCCACATCCTGCATTCCTGTGGCCAGTTGGTGCCATCCAATAACCTGTGTCTGTGTGCACACTGTGTCCGAGGACCCCCAGCTCCCCAGTGCGCTTTGGGGGTCCAGTTTGCGGCCATGCCTTGTACTTGATGACCCGGATCCCTTGGTTCTCTGGCTTGATGAGGAGGACTGCCGGCCACTGGGCTGGTTCAGGATGACCTTCAGGTCAGCCCAGGGTGTCCGCAGGGTGGGTGAGAGACAGGGGGGATGGGCAGGTTTGCCGCAGGTTAGGGACTGAGGTAGGGGTCACACACCACCCTGGGCTCCCCAAGGTGTGGGGTCCGGTCCAGGGAAGGCTCTGCATGGCCCTCACGGTGACGAGGCCTGGATGCAGTGGCCCAGCTCTGCCTTTAAGCAGCCTGGTCTGCTGAGGGGCCAGCAGGCTACATGGTGTGGGGTCCCCGAAAGGGAAGGGGAAGGACTGAGGCCCTGTGCACTCAGATCCTGTTGCTGCAAGCTGCTGCCCTGAGCTGTTCCCCACACCCACCCCCTTAGGGCAGACTTTACCCCAGGACAACCCACCCAGACAGTCCTGTGTCCAGGGGCCCTCACACACCCCTGAATGAGCAAAGGAATGAGGGACCTGCACCCGAGGGCGGGCTCAGGCCACCCCCACCTCGGGGAGATCCCCGCCCACGCCTGCAGAGGAAAACCCTTTATGAGAGAGACATGGGTGCGTGCCCACCCCCCTCCTTTCCCAGACTCTCTGAAGGCCACTGTGTTCCCACAGTGTCCCTAATAATCAGACACTCAGGCTGGGAGTCTTCTCACCGTGTTCATTCTTTCTAGGAACATTTCCAGCAGCAATAAGGGGACAGCACTTGGTGTCAGGGGACCGGGACCCTTCCTCAGTTCCCACAAGGGTCACCTGGCTGTCACCCTGGCAGCCGGGGGTCTCCCGTGGGTGGGTCCTGGGCTCAGGGCACAGGGGGAGAGTGCAGGACCAAGGTGTCCACCCGGGACTGTGCACGGGTGGGTGGCTGTGATTATCTGCACTGTGTAAATCGTGCAGGTGTGTGTGTCTTGTAAATCGACATCCGGATTGTGTATAAAATCCATCTCAGGCAGAAACCACATGTCCACAAGTTGTGCATCTAACACTGTGCTGATGGGGGCTGTGGCGGAGCTGGAACGTACACATGGGAATGACACGGCCTGTGCCCTGGTGACTGCCTCCGCTGACGCGTGGAGGGACCCAGTGAGCACTGCCCTGTCCCGCGCAGCCCCACCACCCTGCTCCTAGAGCCAGGGCTGCCACATTCTTTCACCTGCGGGGTGACGCCAGCCCCTTGCAGCCTACTTTCCACCTGACGGGACACACTTGGGGACTGTGGGCTGCTGTCTCCCGAGGGAGTGACCCTGTGACCTGTATGCAGGTGGCTGTCAGGCTCTGGTGGCCAGGATGGCGTCCACAGTGCTCCCGAGGTACGCAGCCCGCACGTCGGTGAAGCCGTGAGCCTGCAGCAGGCTGCGGTACTCGCTCAGGGTGCGCTCCCTGCTCAGGAACAGCACCATCATGGTCAGCGACTGCAGCACGGGGATCAGAGACTGGCACTTCTCGTCCAGCAGCAGCTCCACCACCAGCAGGCCGCCCCCTGTGTACATGAGAGTGGACTCTGGGTTCTGCCCCGGGAAGTGGGGGAGGGGGCCTGAGGGACGCCAGCCCTCATGGGTACAGGCTGCAGACAGACACCAGCAGGCTGGGGAATCAGACAGGGAGACAGAGGGAAGACAGAGACACACGCAGACACGGAACAACAGAGGGGGAGGCAAGGACACAGGAGACAGAGAGGACAGACGTGCACGTAGGCAGACACACGGGGACAGACAGCGAGATGGGGGGGGAGGCTGGGGACGGAGGGACGGGGCACGGCAGGTGCGGGAGGGGTCTTGTGGGGCAGGAGGCCCCAGGCTTTGTCACTGCCCTGCGGGGCCGGGACCATGACACTCGGGGAAACAAGCTCGGGGACAGCTGTCCCAGCGTGCAGTCACTTGTCTCCACATCCTCGAATCAAGAGTGTCCTCTGAGGACACTAAACTGAGCACCACAGTGGGGCTGGCGGCCACTTACCAAGACAAAGTTCATTTCTCGTTTCTTAGAAATGAAAGCTACTGACTTTTGGAACACAAACAAACGAGAAGAGTAAGTGCCCTGGCCTCTGTGACCGAGGGCACTTCCTGCTGGCCTGCACAGGGAGACGTCCCTGGTTCTGTGCCCAGTCTCGGCTCCTGACTGGGCTGGGGAACAGGTCTCCAGTGGGGGGGAGGGAGGGGCGGCGAGGCAGCCAATCTGTTCTCACATCCCCGTGTCTCTCCCTCCCTCCCCCTGTCTCTAAATGTCCATGAAGAAACCTTGTAAACAGTGAAAACAAATATTTAGACCAGGACGTGGCGGACGCGGCCTCACCTGGTTTGCAGCTGCGGGAGATCCGGCTGAGCAGCTGGTGCACCTTCTCGTCCTGCCAGTTGTGCAGAACTTTGGAGAGGATGTAGAGGTCGGCCTCCGGGAGAGGGTCTCGGAAGAAGTCCCCTGGTGGAACACAAAAGGGGGTCGTTCCGTCAGAGACCCCGGAACTGGCTCTCCCCAGGCAGAAGCGGGGCGGCACCGCCTCTGAACTGAAAGGGCAAGGCGGGCCGCTTGTAGTGGGGTGAGTGTCCCCCCAGCACACGCTCCATGTCCTAATGCCAGAAACCGTGGCCATATGGAAACTGTAGCCACATGGAAACATATGGAGCCATATGGTCTGGCAGGTGGGATGAGGGAAGGATCAGAGAGGAGGTGGTCCTGGGTCACGTGGCCCTGCGTCCAGTGACAGTGTCCTGAGAAGGGACAGAAGAGGCGACACAGTGTCAGAGGTCAGCCCGGGGCAGCCCAGATGCCAAGGCACAGACGCACTCACCTGGCATGAAGCTGACCTGCCCCGTCTGCGGTCCGTCCGGTCGGAAATGCGCGGCGTCCTCAATGACCTCTGGCAGGTCCAACACGGTCACCTTCAGCCCCGGGTACTGTCTGGCCAGCTCGTAGGCCAGGGCGCCTGTGCAGCCTGCAGGGGAGAGCACGCCCTTGACCACCTGACCTTCCTGGCACCTAGGGATGCCTGGGTGAGTTTCCAGGTTGGACCGAGGCCAAATCGAGCAACGTTCTGGAACATGCACTGAAGCCAGAGACGTGCAGTAAAGCCAGCTGCGGTGCAGACCTGGCCCGTGTCTTGTGTGGGCCTCGGGGCTTTCCAAGGTCAAGACCGTGTAGGTGAGCAGGAGAGTGAGGCGTGGTCATAGTGTGAGAAGAGAATCCTCAGGGCAAAGTTCTGGAGGTCTGGTAACCACCCAAACTTTTTCTTGTTTGTGAACACAGACGTGATGGCTGCTGCTTCAGCAGCCAGTCTGGGCCTCGAGGAGGAAGGCTGTGCAGGGAGAATGGGGACATGCAAGCTGGCAGCTCAGGAGTCCTTGGGGTGTTTTCAAGAGAGAACCCCATGTTGCGGTCTCATGAGCACATCAGCCACCCGCCGTGTGACCCAGGGAAAGATGTGCACACAGCCAGGGACACAGAGTGCCTGGGGGGTGTGGTGGGGAGTGTGCGCACCTCCCAGGTCGCAGGCGGAGGTGAACCGAGATAGGTCGAAGGCCGTGGCCACCTGGCGAACCGCCACCTTCGTGTAGCCGTGCATGGCCGCCATGAACTGCAGCTTCCTCTCCTGGGTCTGGTAGAACAATCCCTGAGGCAGAGCAGGGCGTGAGCAGGCAGGCCAAGGCCGGGGGCCCTGCACGCCGGCGGCACCCCCAGCGCGCAGTGCCTCCCCGTGCCTGTCCGTCTGTCTTGTGACTGCGGGTCCCTGTCCAGGCCTTGTTGCTCTCTGCCTTCTGCCTCGCTCTGTGTGCCCTTCTCCCCCGCGCCGTCCCTCCCGCAGCGGACGCCATCAGGACTGGTGAGTTCGAAGGCCCATGCTCAGTGGCTGCCGAGTTTCGTGCAGCAATAGGATGGACACGGATCCCGCCCCCTCAGATCCTTTCCCCAAACCCATGCGTGGAAGGAACATCTCTGGGAGGTCACCTCGTAGGCTTCTTCCCCGGCTGTTCCCAGAACCCTCTGAAACTGGACAGCACCCTCCTGGACAGCGAAGTCCAGGTGGGAGTAGAAGGGCCAGCTGGTGTCCCTTTGGAACAGGACGAAGCTGTGGAGGGAGTACTCGCCGTCGGACAGGAGGTACAGGCTGGCCAGCTGCGTGTTGCTGTAACCTGAAGTGACAGGTGAGGTCCTCACAGTGACGATGCAGCTGGCCCTCCCCCACGGGACCACAGCTGAGTGCCACAGGGAATGACCACAAACGCCACCCGCCAGACGACTGCTCACCACGCGCTGGCAGGCGGCTGCAGAGGGAGCCGGCCACGGGGGGCGCACGCAGGTGCCGATGGGGGGGGTTCCCCCCAGTGCCCCGGGAAGGGCACTGAGCCTGCTGCACTCCTTCCTTCAGTCTGCTGTCTGTCCCTCCGTCCCTCCATCCATGCATCTGTCCGTCTATCATCCATCAGCCCATCCATCCACACCTTCCACAACCCACCCACCCACTCGCTGGCCCATCTCTCCATCCTCCCAGGTCTCCATCAGCCTCACCAGCTGCCTGTCCAATTTCTCCACCACCCACCCATCCCTCCTCCACCCTCCACTCACACATCCTTCCATCCATGAACT